CCCTCTCTAACTTACTAATCCAAGACATTGAAGAAGTGGGGAAATGAATTATGTTTGACAACCCAATCCAACTACCACGGCAACCGCAAGCCACACCCACGCTTATCGTTGTCGTCATCATCATCATCCATGGTGGCCCCTCCTTTCTCCCCTCTCTAACTTACTAATCCAAGACATTGAAGAAGTGGGGAAATGAATTATGTTTGACAACCCAATCCAACTACCACGGCAACCGCAAGCCACACCCACGCTTATCGTTGTCGTCATCATCATCATCCATGTTGGAAGGATTTCGACTGAAAATTGATTTTTTGAAAGATTTTAGTACAATACCAATTGTAGAAGAAAGCTAAGACATTGAAGATCATTGTGTCAAAGTTTCATAATTTTCTACCAAGCCAAATGCTCCAAACTTGCAAGTCAAGACATCCTAAGTTAAAATGCCGTCAGAACTGCACTGCTGTGGAAGATTGAAGATTGAAGATTTGAAGACTTTTCCAATTTTTCCTAGTGGCGTGTGATATATGCCTGGCAAGCTAGAGATCAAGCTACATTTCTCATATCTTCCTAGAATTTTCTATGAAGTGGAATGACCCCAAAACGTGCGTGCAAGTTGGCTGACAGGTTTCCAAGTCAAAGAAGGATTCTTTCATAGTTTGTTTCCTTAATTGTTTGGGATTTTGTTTTGCTTTTGGAGAGTTTTTGTAAGTGTATGCATTTTGTGCTTTTCTTTTGGCTTCCCTTGACAATATTGTAATAGGACAATCATTGTAATTTCTCAAGCTCTAGTTTAGATTAAGAATTACTTCTCTAGGTGTTCTTATCTGGCTACAATCTGATGGACAATCAATGTGTTTGACAAAGGTAATTTCTACATTGCAACATATTAGATTCACTAAATTTCTTAAGATTATGACTAGTCATCTTTCTTTCGTATGACTAGTCAATCTTTGCATTAATAGGATTTTCAGCTCACTGGTTTCCAGCTGGATCCTAACCAACTTTTTTGTCCTATTCTGCGAATTTTCTCAGCTGCCATTTGTACTATTCTGACCTAGGAATTTTTGGGTAAAAGCCAAATAATTCCTCATTTGGCAGCCATCTCTTTTGATAGGAAGTTTTGGGAAAAGGTTTTTGCTAACTTTCTCTTCTTCTTCCTCAAGAGAAAACCATCACATTTTTCATCTATGAGTTTTCCGAATTGATTTTTCGAAAACTACTTTTAAAATATGAAATCTGCATCTGGCTAGATTAAACACTCTCTCATATATATATCTAGGTCTGATTCAAGATTGATTTATTCAAGAGTATGGTTTCTTGGAGAAATTGATAATTTTTCCTTTAAATCCAAATTCTGGTTTCTATCTGAGTTTGAGTTGGCTAGCTGGTGCCATGGTAAAGCTCCAACTGGTAGAAGAACAAGAGAAAGTAAAAAGAGAAAGCAGATTCTAGTCAAGTAAAGGAGCGACAAAACAAGAGTAGGCAGATGCAATCGACACTGTTCAAGTACTGGTGTATTAAATTGCTCAATTTCATCAATTTATAAAGTATCTTCTGGCTAAAACAATAATAATAATTGAAGTATCATTTGTACTGCATTCTGTTTCAATCAAGGTCAAAAATATCGGTGATATCGGAAATATGGGTAGGCCAAAAACACGAAAATTTCGATGGAAATATCGGGATATTATTGATATAGATAAAAATTGAATAAAAACCATGGAAATTGTAAGAAAAACTTGGAAATTTTTATTGAAACTTTGCAGGATGTTTATTTAGTCAATTATCTGTTAGTTTATCATAAAAAATTGGAAGGAAATGCATTGCATGATGGATTTAACTGATTTAAGTTGATTATATAGCGAGCTGGCAAACACTGTGATTGTTACCCCATGGGGTCATAATACTAGTGTTAAAATTCTGAATTTTTTTTAAGGATAAAAACAATGCTAAAAATTAAAAAAAAAACGCCAAACTTATTCCAATTAACAAAAACATCATTCAATAAATTGAGCCCATTATGTAAACCATAAATTTAATCGAAATAATAACACCAACCCAAATAATAAATACACACACCAAAAAATAACCCAAATAATAAAATATCTGGAATATTACAACAAAAAGAGCACAATGGGTGTTGAGCCCTTGACCAAAAACTTCTTTTCAATTCAGAGGCCACTAAGGTAAGTGATAGCTTACATTATTTATGTATACTTTTAGTATTTATAGGTCTAACCAACATAATTGTAAAAATATTTTTAAAAACCCTAACAGATCAATTCGTTTTTTATAAAAAAAATTTGTGTTTGCGCTTGCCGACTCGGGCTTCTTCTTCCTCCATTTCTCTCTCTTCTTCCTCTCTCTTTCTTCTCCCTCTCAATCACTGTCTTCTTCTTCTTCCTCCCTCTCTCTCTCTCTCTCTCTCTCTTCTTCCTCCATTTTTCTTCTCCCTCGCAACTTGCATCTTCTTCTCCATGGGGTCGTCTCCCATGGCTGCCAGGGACCTCCAAGCCATTTCCAGATCTGCCATGGTCGTTTGAGCCATTTCCAGATCTGCCATGGTCGTCTCCCATGGCTGCCAGGGAAATATCGGCGATAATTTCGATAATATCTCGAAATTATCACCATTTCAGCTTGGAAATTTCACGATAATATCGCTTCCGATATTATCGCCGAAATTTCGGCGATAATTTCGACATTATGACGACATCTGCTTGGTTTGTGCTGAAAATATCGCTGTTCAAAAATTCCAATATTATCGCCGATATTTCGGGTAAAATATCGATTTTTCAGTCCATGGTTTCAATATATAGCCATATGATGACCAGTCCAACTATTTATATATTGTCCTGAAAGTCTGAAGCAAGTTGCAGTGGCATATAATCAAATAAGCGCAGCACATAGCTAGCACTCCTAATCCAATAATCTTCTCTATGTACACAAGTTTACTATCGACCAAGGTCTAAAATATCGAGGATTTCAGAAATATTGGTGGTCCAAAAATATGGAAATATCGGAAAAATATCCATATTAATAAAAATTGTATAAAAACCACGGAAATTATGAGAAAAACTTGGACATTTTTATTCGAACTTTAGAGCATGTCAGGCCCATAGCTTGTGCACAGGGCCCCAAAAATTTGGAGGCCCAAACTTGTTTAAGCCCACTTATAAAACAAACCGAAAGATGCCCTTTACTTATCCAGACTTCAAACTATAAAAAAAAAAAATTCTAAAATTCCTTTTGACAAAAGAAAAGAAAATGAGCCTCTTTTTGTTTTCAATTCCCTAACCCAATCTTATAAAATAGATGAAAGCACAAATATAATATTAAATCCAAAAGAAGGGGTTCTGGCGTCCTATTGATAAACCACCACCATTAATTCATTCATCGATTATTGATACCATAGATTAATTGTCATTTTGTCAGTTTTATTGCTAAACATATTACTTTGGTTTTTTTTTTTCAATGAAACCTATTTATGATTCTAACTAGACACTTGTGTCTATTGCTTCATTTTGCTGTTTTTTTTTGTTGTTAATTTTTTAATTATCTTCACTTTAAAAAAAATGTAAAAGACAATTGAGTGGGCTATCAATATGGAAAAATAAATGTAGTTGATGAAATTAAGGATAGAATTGGTTCTATTTATGGATTATGGTGTAATTGATGCACCTCAATAACTTTCTTTGTACATTATCTATTATTTTGACAAAAAATCAATGGATCAGCTCTACTTTAGAGGATGTTCATTTAGTCCATTATCTATTATTTTGACAAAAAAATAATTAAATAAAATGTAGTGTATAGTGAGTTTAAGTGATTTAAGACGACTATGTTTCGAGCTGACAAACACTATGACTTAGAGTTTAAGTGCTTTAACATGTCCAAAGTGTACATTATAGTTAATTTTTCGTAAAGTCTTCAAAAATGAATAAAAGATAAGAAAACACACGTAACCAAATAAAAATGTATAAAGTAAAAAAAAAAATATATATATGTTTTTAATGTAAGTACTTGAAAATTAATTACTTCTCTAAGATTATTTTCTTTCTTGAGTTAATTACTCAAATGGTCCATAAACTTGTACGCGATTTACATTTTGGGGCCTGAATTAAATTTTTCGTTCAAATGGTCCATCAACTCTACATTAATTACTCAAATGGTCCCACCGTCTAATTTTCTGTTAGATTTAACCAAATTTTAGGGTAAATAATGACTAATTTGCCCTCATATTTAACGGAAATATTGACAGAATGTAACGGTGGGACCATTTGAGTAATTAATATAGAGTTGATGGACCATTTGAACGAAAAATTTAATTCAGGCCCCAAAATGTAAATCGCGTACAAGTTTATGGACCATTTGAGTAATTAACTCAAGAAAGAAAATAATCTTAGAGAAGTAATTAATCAAAAGTAATAATAACAGCTCACGTATCAAAAAAAAAAAAAAAAACAAACACCCACACAGTAATTAAATATAAAGCTGATTAAAAAACATAATCACAACAAGGACTATGTACCCTTAGATTAATTGAAGAGCTTGTATTAAAGAGTTGCTCATATACTTTATGCAGAGAAGATGAATTATTAACCAAACAATAGATTTGAGTTAGATTTGAATACTTTGTGCAAAGAAGAAAAGTTCCCAAGACGTATGTACCTCTAATATAAGTTAACCAGAGATTCTACAGCAAAGAGCAACTATTAGGAGAAATGTTGAATGAAAAATCAAGAGGACTGATCGGGCAATCAATGAGAAGACACTATGCCAAATTTCACTTTCCGCAACACTACATAGGTATCGGTGAAATGAAAAACCGATTCTATTAGTATATTAGGCATCGGTTTTATAAATAATAAGACTAAAAGTATATAAAGGCATCAGCACAAATTTTTGGTTTTTCTTACCGATGCCGTTGATTATATTTAGCATCCATAATATAAATATACTGAAGCGTAAAATGATTCTGCAAAAAACAAATTTAAGCATAATATTTTGCACTGATGCCAAAAGCATAGTTGACCGCTACAGTAATTTAGCATCCATCTCTTCTCTCTCGCGATACCCAGTCAGAGTCACTCTCTCATCCATCTTCTCACCTCCAAACTCCCTCTCTTCTCTCTCGCGACACCCACAGTCAGCTTAAACCCTCTCTCGCTATACCCACAGTCACAGTCGCAGTCACTCTCTCATTCCTCTCACCTTCAGTATCTCTCTTCTTCACTGATTTCTTCTCTGTCCTCCATCTCTGCCGTCATCTATTCCTAAACCCTAAAAGAGAGAGCCATAGACGTCCTCCTCGTCGTCGAGAAGAGCCATCGCAGTCCCTTCGTTTACCTCCGTCGTCGTCGTCCTCCAGGTGAGATTATCAGTTAGGGTTTCAATTTGTTGGATAATTTCTCTAATCTTACTCTGCCTTTATCTGTGTTCCATGATTTTGGAGCTAATATTTGATGGGTTCTGTTTGTTGTGAGACAATTTACGTATTTCACCCAGATGTTAATCTACTCAATATTTTATTTCTGTTAAATTAAATGCCTTTCTCCTTCGTTTTCTTTGTTTTTCCATCTATAAATTCTTCGGCTTTTCCCTGTTTTAAATTGGTTTCTCACGGATTCTTCATTGAATTTTAAAGCCCTTTTGTTGAAGCAGAAGCTAACTGTCAAATATGATCTGTGCATGCCACTTATAGATGAGAAAGTAAGGCGGAGGGAGTGTACCAAGACAATTCCCCCCTCCCCCTTTTTTTTCTGATGGAAAATTTGACCCAAAACTTGAATGTTTAGTTAGCAGGGAGATTTAATGTGATCACATTGTATGGCGTACTGATGGAGACACAACCTAACTTTGGCATGATGATAGATATTTGATGCACTGGTTGGTACATATGGAGTGAATGCTCTTAAAATTCTAAGTTTTTGGACTGGTTTAATTTATCGGTATTTGATATTTGGACTATTTTTGTTTTGCTGTTGCTGTATTTTTGGTTTTGATTTTATTGTTGCTAGTATAGGAAAGAGAAGCTTTGAAAGAAAAAAGGGAGAGAAATAAGAGGGAAGGTATTTTATTGTTCTGTTCTTGTGCATTTGATTTGTTACTGATTTTTTTCTTTTATTGGCAACTGTGATTTTGTCTGTATTAAAATCATGGGTTGCATGAACTATATTAGCTAGACAACTATGGGGGCTTTAGTTAATTAATTGTAACATATGCTTACATATTTGGAACCAAGGATCAATTAACAAGACATTAGTTTGGGGTGATTCAGTCAGGAACCAATTAATCTTTCAAAAGAAAACAAAACTGAGAATTGGGTTTTGGTCATAATGGAACATTGGAATTTACATATATTGAAAGCAGAGTAGTCGTAGCTAGGCATCATTGTTTTATATATACACTTAAAATTTACCTAATTAAGTTTGTCATAATTTGTTTTAATTACTAGCTAGCTTGGTTTACAGTTTAGGTCATCAGGGGATTCTATTGCCCATGTAGTGGTTGATGCCAAGTAACTCGTGCGTATATTACATATTGGCTCCGTGGATGTGCTTACAATAGGTACGTAGTGCACTGCTCTTGGTTTGCTTTCATTCAGTACAAATTGTGAATCCTGCGGCTCTTCTTGTTTTGTACAATTAGACTTGATATTTGCAGCTATTGAACCGGATCCTTAATGTTTTGAGAATATTTTTGTAATTTTATCAATATAATATCATCCCTAGTTGTTGATGTTTTATAAGCAGTACGCAATTTTGAGACCATTTGTAAGGTTTGAGTATAAGAGAGTGAGGTAAACTCTAAACATTGACCTTAACTCAGTCAAGGTAAAATCTTATGTTTTGGCTCAATATTTGTCTTTTCCAAACGTGTTTCTCCTATGTTTTCTGCTGCCCTATGTAAAGCATGTTTGGAGGATATGCTAAACTTGTGATGAAGTTAAAGTCACTATCAAATGTATGAATTTCCAGAAATCATTCTAAGCCTCCCATGCAAATAAAGTCATCATATTTGCCTTTTCCTTTTGGCCTGGAAAGTCACAAGATGTACTTGCTCAATAGCAAAGTGCATATCCAAATATATTTGAATAATAAGGGTGACAGATCCTATATTCTTAGTTTAATTTCAAGTGCCTAAAACCTATGGTTTACTATAAAATGCAGAAACTAGGGAATATCAAAGCTTTGCTTTGTTTAGACGAGCACCTAGAAAAATAGCCTTGAATGTGTAATGATTTTAATCATTCCAGGGCGATGGATTTGCTCTATTTTCCTAGCAACACATGAAGTCCAAGATTAGTTCAAGGGCCCTTCTTTGTTTCTTCTAAGTAGTAAGGTATGACCCTTTGATATAAACAATGGAACTGGAAAAATGGTATCAAAATGAATCTAAATGGCAGTATTACTGTCCAGTTTTATATCAAAAAGTTTATTTACTTATGCTGTAATCAATTTTAGGATGGGCGTCTGAGAATTTTGGATTGTCCAAGCCTGCGAATAATTTTAGATGAACCAATTGTTCACAAGTCTGTTCGTGATTTGGATTTCAGGTGAGGAAAATGCTTGTTGATTGTCTTGCGTACATTTAAATACATGACAACAATGCATAAGAATATGCTATAATCAGATATATGTTTACATTTTGTTGGATTGGGGCATTATCAACAAAGATCTATTTTGATTTCTCTCTTTCTCCTTTTACTTGAGGTTGTTTTAATTCAATTTTGCTTAGGCTGCATGCAGTAAGTGTCATTGTTCCTCTTCTCCTCTTGATTCATGTAAGTGTCATTGTTCTTATTTCACATATTTTAAACTATAAATTGGGGGCTTTGTTGTTTGCAGGTAATAATACAGTCAGAATATTGGGGGTGGGAGTTGTTTCGGCTCTGCTTGTTGAGGTTTACTAGGCTTCATGTTGTTGTTGGTATCTACTATCCAGTGTTTCATATTAGTTGAATCGTGCTTTAGTCATTGAATTTGAACTAGGCTTCATTTGGCACAATTCCTGTAAAAAAATCTTCAAGATTTTTGTAGTAGTGAAGGAAATGCAATGTTAACAATTGTAATAGTGAAAGCTTTTTGCCGCAAAGTTTTTTTACCAGAAACTTTTTGTTTTCTTGAATAATTACAGTTTAACCAACTTTTTTTTCTTGGAATTTCACTCGGAAACTAGTTAGTTTGAAACCAATGAAAGGGGTACTGTATTACCCAAAGAAAAACTAACAGGACGTTAGTACTTTGGCTGGCATAGTAACTATATTTAGTACTTCGACGTTCTAACGGTCCACCAAAAACTGTAAAGGGATCGTCAAGAACTATCTATTTATTTGAACTGTAAAAATTTTAAAGCAGGCTGGTAAGTAGGCAGAGGGATCTTCAAGAACTATTTATTTGAAGAGAGAATTTAACCATGAACTTATGCTTTAACCATCAGATCTGCTCAAACATTTGAATGATATACAAATGAAATCCAGTACATGAATTATGATACACTTCAACACTTGGAATTGAAATGGGATTGTTTCTCAAGAATTGATGAGGTTAGAGATGTCGAATTGCAACTTGCTATTCCAAACCTTCAAGAACTCACTCTGTAGAGTATCTATTCACATCCTCATTATATTCTTCAGAACAGAACTCAACCTCCTCATCAACGACCTGGAATTGCACCGTGTTGAAAAATAATACTCATCAGCTTATACTAAAATCGAAAGTGACAAATGGTGGCATATATTCAAAGCTAAAGAGAAGGATGCATGCACTTCTAAACACAATAAGTTACAGCACATTGAAAGTGTTCATCCAATGCACTAAATGTGAGAATTGTCAACTTCGGACTTAAAACGAGCGTCCAAGTGTTTTTGATAATGATGCAGAAAGCTACAACATTCAGAAATCTCTATACTAATCTACAAAATTCAAATTAAAGAAGGCTCTAAATACTCTGCCTTTGCATTTTTTTTAACTGAAGAAACTGTAGAACTTCATATTTTGAGATACTTAGATCACAAACTAGCTAGGGAAAATTGAATTATACTATCATCAATATTCCCCATGTTTAAGAAAAAAAAACAAAAAATGATCATGCTGACCAGTATTCCTATCGGTCTAATTTAAGAAAACAAAAAATGATCATTTCACTAAAAACAGAAAAGTTATTTCAATTCCTATATATCATCAGATGGAGATGCAAAGTACCTAGGGAAACCTAGTTAACGTAAATCCTAGCCATCTAGAAATCCCGTCTTAAAGATTTCCTTTGTGTGATTTGGCTTGCAAGAAGTAGTTTTTGTTCAACAAGAGAGAGGGGGTGAAGAGAACGATGTACAAATATAAGTGTACATTTCTCTCTCATATTTTAGAGTACCTAGGGGTCTCCTTATTTTAGGATCAAGACAGGAGCACATTCACTCTAAATTTTAACTTAGAATCTCATTTAGGGAGGAGCGCATTGGAGATGCTCTAATGAGATACCACATCAAATTAGGTTGTTTGTTTTGTTTTCGTCTACTATATCATAATGATAGAACACTTGAATTAAAAAACCTCAAACACACATGAAATACATTGTAATTTCTTGTCCAATTGAAGCTTAAACAATCTCACACGTAATTTTTTTGTTTATATCATTAGAACCATAATTTGATCTTGCTAACTCAATTTAATTCTTCATAATATGGCATAATTTTTTAGTAAGATTTGCAAACACCAGTGTTTCCTTAATATAGAAGTTGAAGATGGCAACATATATATATACTCACCTCTGCACTTCTCTGTGTTAACATCATATCTCTGCTATCTCAATAAAATTCGGCCACCTACCTCGTTTCCCTGTATGCAATTAGGTTTGAAAAAGAAAACACTTTAATTGTTATATTATTGACTAAACACCAGTAAACATTCAGGAGCATACCTTTTTTCTTGAATGTTCCCTATAGTGCTATTGAGGTCCCCCATCCACTCAGACTTTCCCAACTCTGTGTGTACTTGGATTCTAGAATGTGTGTTGACAACCTTAGAAGCAAATGTTCTTAAGTATGGACATCTTATAACCTTCAAATTCATCAAAGATGGCAACTTCAAAGTATAAGCTTCAGTAGAGAAACAAATGAGGTTTGGTAGATCTTCAAGCGTCATGGAATTCAGTTGAGGAAATGTAATTTCCTGATCAGCACATTCAGTGTCTGCTTTTGCAATAACTTGTTTAATCTTCTTACAATTCCCAACTTTTAAGTCCTTTAAACTGACAAAGAGCTTGGCTACAGTTGACAAGAACAAATATCGTAAACCGCCACAGTGGGATACACTTAAGAATGTCAAGTTTCCGAAGCCTGTGATATGTTGTGAACCGCCCGTTTCCCATACGTGCATTAAACTTGGCAATTTGTATAACGACAAGTAACACAACTTATTCAATGCTTGAACATTATGGCTTTCCACAGCCTTCGATCCCTTGAGTTGGAAAACAACTTTCAGTGACTTACAGGATTGTATAGAAAGACGTTCTAGATTATCGTAATCATTTGAGTCTTGATCAAGATTTGTTGGGGCAACCTAGAAAATCAAACATCAATTGAGCAACTGTATATAATTTATATAATTTCAATATGGCAATGTCATTGTCATTCTCAAGTGTAGCTCGAGGGTTGAGGTTCATATAAATAAAATAATAGTAAATTGAAATGCTTACCTCTTGATTGACTGGACGTGGCAATATTTGAACAACATTTGTTCTTGAAGTAGGTTTGGTCATTGGGCCACATGAATAAGGTGTACATCCACAAGATCCTGATGAAATACCTTCGTCTTCGTCTTCGTGATGAGCTGTTGAATCTTTCTCCAACTTTTTTATTTGTGGAATTACTGAAGGCAATGTCTTCAATTTGGGAAGCCCGTCTAGATCAAGACTATTTAGTTTGGGAAACAAAGTCATGCCCCTCTGATCCTCTTTTTCATTTTCATCTGCAGATCTGACTATAGTTTCCATTTGCCAGCATTCCGCTATGTTGAGCTCTTCAAGATTTACAAGTAGCCTAGCAATTGAATGTGGGAACACATATTGGAGATCAGTACCATAATTTATTTTTAAATGTCTTAAGTTTTGGAAGCCCTGGAGTCCACGTGGAATGTTCTTCCAAAGGTGTTGACATGCAAAAGCCAATAAAATCTCCAATTTTCGTAAATGAGAAAATACTGGACCCGTGTGGCCTTTCAGATCAAATAACACATCTACAATGCCATCGTCAAATTTTAGTTTCACTTCTTCTAGATTTTGTAACCATAAAATGCACTTTGATGGAAATACCGCTCTTTCAAAGCTTCTCGAAGATTGATGCACATTTTCATCCTTAGGCGTTGTTACCTGAAAAGATTCATTTATTATAAATATTTAAAGAAACATTTTATAGATCCTCATTTAATAAATATCCTCATTTAATAAATATCCTCTAAAAAATGAAATTAATAACAAGCTTGGGGGAATCTATGGATGATTTTCTTTGTGGTCTGCACAATAATTTTTTATTATTATTATTTTCTTTTTGTAAAGGCAAGATCCTCATTTATTAGTATGAGAATATTTTCAGTTTTTAGGCCCTAAACTGGTAGTGAGTAGATGATACTAAAACAGTCAAACTAAATTGATGCACAAAGGTTGGAGTAAATTCAAACTAAACAGTCAAACTAAATTCAGACAAAAAAAAAAAAATTTGAGGCACAAACAATTAACAAAACTATTCAAGCATACCTCATGCTTGTTGACTTTGTAGAAACCAACGAAATTATATAGACCTTGGAGTGTCAAATTTGTTAATTTAGGAAAAGCTATGATGTCCGATGCCGTCTCATGTTCCCTCCACTCCTTTGAGACTATTTCTTTCATTTGGCGACACCGGTCAACATTTAAGCTTTGGAGTTGAACCAAGTTGCTTGCTACTGATAGAGAAAAGACATATTTTAAAACAGGGCAATCATATAATTCAAGAGATCTTAAGTTGATAAAAGAGCTCTGTGGAAGTTGGTCGTGGCATATCGCTTTTAGCTTGGGAATCCACATGAGTTGGATTGATTGGATGAGAGGGAAGGCTGTTTGTTGAGTCCAACTTGCTCCATTTACAAGGTATTCTATCTCAGGGCAGTCCCAAATTGTTAAAACTTTTAAGTGTTGCAGTCCCTCTTGGTCTAATACATTGAGGACATACTTTAAATTCTTAATCCTTCCCAAGATTAAATCTTCACATTTCTTAAATAAGAGTCGAACGGTTTGAATCTCCATGAATTCCGTTGCATCACTGTCAACAATATCCAACTTATTTTTGAATGCATCACTGTCAACAATACTAAAACCTGTTGGACACAATCTGTTGGATATGTGGAATCTTATTGTTGTCTGGATTGTCAAGTAAAAGTCTTTTGGAAAGAAGTTGAAACTGGGTATACACATGACTAAAACCTTCAAATGATTAGACAAAGACATCACCTCAACAAGGCTTGCCATCCTCTTATCTTCGCTTTCTGTTGCTGATCGTTCCCATTTGCGAAAACTATTTTCCATATACAACTCTTCAAGACTAGATAAGCTCGATAAGAGACCATGTGGAATCTTCTGAAGACGAATACAATCCGTAATATCTAACAACCTTAAATGTATAAGAAGTCCAATTTCCCTCGGCAACTCTACGATGTTAAAGCAATTACGAAAGCTGAGGATCTCTAAATTTTCCAATCTTCCAATAACATCAGATATATATCTGAAATGACAACCATTTAGGGACAAGGTTCGAAGGCTCTTCAGTACTCCTAGTGAACTTGGCAAGACTGATATCCCACCCATGCCTAAAACCTTCAGCTCTTTCATCCCTTTACACATGATTTCCATGCTATTTTCCGAATAACAGCCGCCTTCTGAGTGTAGAAGCTCAAGTTTTGGACACTCCAGACCAACTGGGATCTCATCAATATTAATTGGTATCAGTGAGATTGTTGTATAATGGTCGTATATCTTTGGCCACCCTTTCTTTTTAGCATCACATCTTATTAGAAATCTATGTGGATCTCTTGAGGCAATTTGTATGGTAACATCACGAACTATGTCATGCATCTTGGT